GTTGCAGGGTAATAATAAGCTTCTCTTCTGGAGGGTTAACAACCTAAGTTTGCAGATCAGAAATTGGAGCAAAGGAAGGGCTACAAGGTCCACCAACATTTTTTCCCTCGCCTTTCAAGGTCAGTGAAGACTGAGGACATAGGATAACCCGTACTGTAACATCACGTAACTCAGTTGTGCCCCAAATTTTCTGATCAAGGAGATTATGGAGCCACAGAGGAACGTGATTGATGATGTATAGTGTGCGTGGGGAGAGTCACATGGAGAGAAAACTTTCTTTCAGGTATTCACAGAGAGCAAATTGGTCTAGCATTACCCATGACTCATCCACATGGCTGACACTGACAAAGGATCTACAAACTGCAGTAGAGGGTTATAGCATAAATCCTGAGGGGACTTGACTGACTTTATCAGATACAAAAGTTACATTTCTTCTTACATAGGTCTTGCCTTATCTTGGTCTTAACCATCCAGCAGAAAAATATAGAAACGGAGTATATAAAGTAAAGCCATATTAATATGCTGTGTTGTAAAAGGCTCTAGTCAACAACTTCTGCAGACAACCCACTACTATTGTGGACTACTGGACTATGTTGGATTGTTCTGCTGAATTCAAGCACCTATAATATTTAGATGCCAAAAGAATACCCACCTCTGACAGGACTGGAGAGGGGGGACACAGAGGAAGGACCATTTTGTATTGGTATATACAGAATAGTTAAAATAGATGTACAGCTGCTTTCGCTTGGTTCAGTGAGAGGAAGGACTTGTAGTAGTAGTGTTTGGACGGGATGCCCTGGCTGCTTCTTGTGCTGTGGATGACCACTGAGAAGATAACAATGTGTAATGTATTATTATTTAAAATGTCCTATTAATCAGCTTGGAAAGTGTCTCATTGATATTTGTTTCTCAATAAAATAAAAAAATAAAAAATAAAAACAAAAGGAAACCTTCATAGTATGGAAAAAAATCACAAAAACTACATATTTTTTACAGAGTACCTTTTTAACAATGAAATATTTGTCAAATTTTAGTAACGAATGTTTACTTTTTAAGGTCATTTTTAGGCTACTGGTTAAGCCTACATATAAGTATAAATATAAATATATGCATAAATACATGTATATACATATACACATGACACATCAATGTAAAGAACATGTTCTCAAATCTCTCTGAATATGCTTTTGAGATCTGAATTTGAAGTAACACAAAGTAATATGTCATGTTCAGAGCTGCAAAAGCAGGCATTATTGATATTAGAGCAAAACAGCAACAGCAGACATCAAACTTGCAAAAGCAAGGCAAACCTACACAGGAGGATCGTGCACGATGGCTTTCCCACAACACACCTGATGTTGTACACGGGGCATTCGAAGAAAATGATTTTATTTGCTAACTGGATAAAAATACTCACTTGTTTCACATTTTCAGCTAAGAAGACAATATAAACACTGCAGAATCCCAACTGTGTTATCACCAGAAAAAAGTCAACCACAGTCCTAAAGGAAGACAGCCACAAGTAGGTACCAATTAGACCTGGTGAAACAGCAATGCATTTTTCTCTTTTAAAGGTTTTAAAACATTTTATAATTCTTTTTACTATCATAAATAAAAAACATTTAGAAATCGTATTTCCTATGAAGATGGTGCGCTGACGGTCAGTAGGTCACTAGAACTGCTAAGTACAGAACAATGCTGTATTAATGAAAAGACCAAGACTTTTGCACCATTACCTTGTGCTAAAATTACAGAGTTTAAGGATATCTGCTTATAAGAAGACTTTATGAAAAATAT